GCAGCAGCAGCTCTTGCTGCAGCAGCAGCAGCAGCAGCAACGCCATTGGCAAGACGCCAGCAGCAGCACTGCTCCACGTTCCTTGGGTGTAGAGCAGCAGCGCACGCATCACACTGCGTCTGGTGGGGGGACATACAGGGGCAGCTCATTTTCATACATAAGCGAAAGAAGAGACTCCAGCGGCAGCCGGCTGTACCTGCAGCAGCAGCAGCAGCAGCAGCAGCAGCAGCAACAGCAGCAGCAGCAGGAGCAGCAGCAGCAGCAGCAGAAGCAGCATATGGGGGGAGGCTGGATGGGAGGAGGCTGGGGCGGCCGAGGGAGTGCAGCAGCATCTACATCAGCATCATCTTCAGCAGCAGCAGCAGCAGCAGCTGCAGCAGCAGCAGCAGCAGCAGCAGCAGCAGCAGAAGGGACAGGCAGCACAATGCCTTTCCTTGAGGGCGTTGAGGTGTCTGATGAGCTCGCGGGGATCGCCGGCCTGGGGGGTGGGGGGGAGGGGCTTGACAGCAGCAGCAGCAGCAGCAGCAGCAGCAGCAGCAGCAGCAGCAAGGGTTCTTTCTTCTATGACCCGCAGAGGGATCCCCGGTTGATGCAGCAGCAGCAGCAGCAGCAGCAGCAGCAGGGGCATCGATCGCGTATGCTGCGGCCGCAGCAGCAGCAGCCGGGAGGGGGTCGTTGTGCTGCTGTCTCCTCCTCTTCCTCTGGATCAGCAGCAGCAGCAGCAGCTGCTGCTGCTGCAGCTGCAGCAGCAGCAGCAGCAGCAGCAAAGAAAGGGGACAGCAGCAGGAGAGCTGCTGGGGGGGCCCCCTTCACTCTGGATGAGGGGGCCCTCATGCTGATGAGGCCCCAGGACCTAGACATAGAGAGCCCACTGCCTCTCGAGGTTTGCTGCTGCTGCTGCTGCTGCTGCTGCTGCTGCTGCTGTAATTGATGCTGCTAGTGTTTCTGCAATTGATGCTGCTGCTGCTGCTGCAGTTGATGCTGCTGCTTTGTGCTTGCTGCTGCTGTGTGTATTGTATCTGTGGCTGTTGAGGCGCAGCCTTTGCTGCTGCTGCTGCTGCTGCTGCTACTGCTGCTATTGCTTCTGCTGCTGCTACCGCAGCTGCGGCTGCTACTACAGTTGCTCCTGCTGTTGCTGCTGCTGCTGCTGCTGCTGCATCAGTATCTTGTTTGCATCAGTTCCTGCTGTATTTCTTTTTTTCTTTTGTTCATTTCCCTTCTTCTGCCACTGCTGCTGCTGCTGCTGCTGCTGCTGCTGCTGCTGCTACAGGAGGATGTGTTTGGCTTTGCTGCAGCAGAAGAGACATGGGAGACATCTGCTGCTGAGGGTCTCCGTGCTGTCTGGCGGCTGCCGCTGGAGCGCCTGAAGCAGCTGCTGCTCATCCAGCAGCTAGCGCCAGAAGAAGAACCCTGGATACCCGGTCAGGCGGCGAGGGTTTAGGGTTTAGGGTTTACAGGGGTTAGGGTTTACAGGGTTTAGGGTTTACAGGGGTTAGGGTTTACAGGGGTTAGGGTTTACAGGGGTTAGGGATTAGGGTTTACAGGGGTTAGGGGTTAGGGGTTACAGGGGTTAGGGTTTACAGGGGTTAGGAGCTAGGGTTTAGGGTTTAGGGTTTAGGGTTTACAGGGGTTAGGGGCTAGGGTTTAGGGTTTAGGGTTTACAGGGGTTAGGGTTTACAGGGGTTAGGGTTTAGGGTTTAGGGTTTAGGGTTTACAGGGGTTAGGGGTTAGGGATTAGGGTTTACAGGGGTTAGGGTTTACAGGGGTTAGGGGCTAGGGTTTAGGGTTTAGGGTTTACACGGGTTAGGGTTTACAGGGGTTATGGTTTACAGGGGTTAGGGTTTAGGGTTTACAGGGGTTAGGGGCTAGGGTTTACAGGGGTTAGGTTTTGGGGTCTAAAGGGTTTAGGGTTTACAGGGGTTAGGGTTTACAGGGTTTAACGGGGTTAGGGTTTAAGGGGCAGGGGCTAGGGTTTACGAGGGTTAGTGTCTAGGGTTTAGGGTTTAGGGTTTAGGGTTTAGCCCCCTCACGATCATCAGCACCATAACCACCAGGATGATGTTTATTATAATTGTTTATTGCGTATGTATTTATTATTTATTTATTTATTTATTTATTTTATTTTATTTATTTATTTATTTATTTATTTATTTATTTATTTGTTTGTTTGTTGCTGCAGGCACTCGTTCTTTGTGTGTGATAGGGCTGCCTGTGGATGTCTGTACACCCCAAGCTGCTGCTCTTCTTGTTGCTGTTTATTTAGGTGCTTTAGGTGTATCCTCAGCAGCAGCAGCAGCAGCAGCAGCAGCAGCAGCAGCAGGAGCAACAGAGGAGACAGTAAAGACAGGGTGTCTCCTTCGTGCTGCTGCTGTGTCTCTTCCCTCGAGCAGCGACAGCAGCAGCCAGCTGCAACTGCAGCAGCAGCAGCAGCACCAGCAGCAGCAGCAGCAGCAGCAGCAGCAGAAGCTAGCTAGCTGTGTCTCCTCTCTCTGCCCCCCCCTGTCTCCTGCTGATGAGTTAGCGGGTCTCCTTGAGCTGTCTCCTGGGGAGCAGCAAGGAGACAGCAACGGAGACATGTTTGTCTCCTTTGCTTCTCCCAGCAGCAGCAACTCTGCTGCTGCAGCATTGAAGCAGCAGCAGCAACAGCAGCAGCAGCAACAGCAGCAGCAGCAACAGCAGCAGCTGCTGCTGCAGCAATTCATAGGCATCAAGCAAGTGTCTCTTCTCCTGGGATCGGATCCCGCTGCGCTCAACAGCTTCCCCGTATCCGCGCTGCGGCAGAACCTATCCTCATCAGCTGCTGCTGCTGCTGCTGCTGCTGCTGCTGCTCCTGCTGCTGCTGCTGCTGCTGCACTCAGCAACGGGATGCCAGCTGTCGCGCTGCTGCAAACAGAAAACGAAGAGGCCGCCAAAAGGCTCTGGCTTGTCTTCTCTTCAGGGGAATGCATGGTCAGCTGCTGCTGCTGCTGCTGCTGCTGCTGTTGCTGCTGCTGCTGCGGTTGCTGCTGCTGCTGCTGCTGCTGGTGCTGCTGTTACTGGTGCTGCTGTTACTGGTGCTGCTGCTTTTACTCCTGCTGCTGCTGCTAGTGTTGCTGGTGCCGGTGCTGCTGGTGTTGGTGTTGCTAGTGTTAGTGCTGCTGTTGATGCTGCTGCTGCTGCTGCTGCTGCTGCTGCTAGTGTTACTGCTGCTGCTGCTTCTACTGTTGCTGCTGCTGCGGTTGTTGTTTCTGTCTGTGGTGGTGTTGCTTCTGTTGCTGTTGCTGCTGTTGTTCTTGTATATGGCCTCGGTATTTTAAAAGCTGCTGCTCTTGCTGCTGCTGCTGCTCTTTCTGCTGCTGCTGC